TTTGCATTAAGAATGGTTTGTGCTCAACTGTTAGTCTTTTATTACCATATGCGATCTGAGTTGACTAGAATCATTGCGCGATCTATCAACTGATTACTTAAATATATTCAATATACAATTGATGTAAAGACTTTTATTTTGTATTGAAGTACATTATGAAGAGATTCGTAGGTGAATCTCACCAAGGTTGGAATATGTCTCGTGGACTGCATTAACTTGAACGTGGTATTGACGCCAAATGGCTAAAGTGCAATGCAAAATGGCCAACGTCTTTTGGTGAGATAGACCTACAGATCTCTTCATCATGTACTTCCATATGAAATGAAAGTCTTGACATCAACTGAATATTGAAACTATTTAAATCACCATTTAATAGCTTGCGCAAGAGTTCCACTCAACCCATGAGTTATAGCCACCTCTCTAATTTAAGGCTTTATCATTTTATTAAACAATGCCTTCCCACCTCCGTTCTTCTGCTTATTTAAATCCTTGTGTAACCATAATTTCTTTATAATTTCGCTATATCTTTTTCTACTACATCTTTTATTTTCTCCTTTATATAGATATCTTCCTATTTGTTATGTTACCCTCTTCTTCTCATCGTATTCGAATGAAAAGCTTTTCCTATTTTGATATACTTCTCATATAACTATTCCTTTAAGAACTTAAACTCCGCATTTCCTTAGTAAAGCATCTATCAATATTTCTTCTAGAAGAATCGATGTACGTGACCTTTTGAGTAATCTGTTTTCTGAAGGCTACGAACCCGGCATTTGCTCCACCAGATCAGAAGTCCGTGCGGCAGATTCAGTCTTAAGTGCAGCTGAACTTCATCATTTAGTAACCTCACGTGAACCGAACCATTCAAATTTAATCCCCAAACGTAAATCTGTCTCAGTTCGGACTTCAGAGGCTGCTCTTGGAGCCAGCTGTGACTCTCTTCTAATCAACGGCCCCTTATCTCATCCCCAGGTCTGTAAAGAACTAGAAAAGTCCTCCTGGCGCAGTAGTTTTTCACTGTCCGGACATTTATCAGGAGATAATGTCACACGGCAATCAGGGGCTGGATCTGAGAGGTCTAACACTGAAATGCGAAAAATGGACCGCCTAATTAGTGGAGTATCTCGCAGACTTTTCCCGGGCATCGTTGATGGAGCTGGAGTTGGAAATGGGGTTGGAGCAGGAGTTGGAAATGGTGCAGAAAGTAGTAGTGGAACCAGGGATGCAGCCAAAAGTAGCCTGGCCAAGGGAGGATCTTGTGGAAAAATTAGTCGAGAACGAATAAAATTATGGGAGTCCTCCATCGAGCACCTCCTATCTGATGAGTGTAAGTTGAGTAGAGTGTTTATTGCAACCACTCTTAATCAATGTTATTTTTCGTAAAAGAAAAACAATCTAAAATAAAACAAGCCGCCCTAGGTGTCTGGCCCGCAATTATTCCCTACTAATTATTTTTCAAAAGCCTATATTTATACTTATTTATTAACTAATTCGTATCCTTATTGAATGACGATGTAGCGTAAAAATGTCCAGATCTATGAAATGAATTCACCTTATTTTGTTGAAGCGATGATGGACAGATTGTTGAATTTTCCCACAATCATGAGTATACCACATTTTTTTACTGAATTTCGCATATCCTCGCAATTTTTACCGGGCTTATTTAGATGTAGTGTGGTGTTCTTCTTTGAGCGGCATTCATGAAAATCCTTCAGAATCCACGCTGTCGTTCCACCCCCTTCACTCTTGTGCTGGGAATGTTGATCATAGTCTGCAATATTCTTACGCAGTCCTCCTTCCATAGGTCTTATCACAGTCTCCCTCTTGCCCCGTAGGATCCGTCTGCTATCTCCCTGGTTCGAGTATTTCACTCGATCCCTGCCACCCGATCTGCATCACTCGAGGCGTTATTCGCCCTCCCCTGCGTCTGGGTGACAAATTCGAGGCTCAAGCCTCTGACTAAGTCTCATCGTCGAGCCTTTGCTACATGAACCACGTCTCTGGTAAAACGGACTGTCAGCCAACTAGCCTCAGTCCCCGCCGCTTCTATCCTATCTCTATCCCTAATACCAAGTCTATGACTTGCTATGCCTTAGTCTCTTGTGTGCTAACGCACAAATGTTGTGGTACTATTTGTTTTGATTAGTTTCAATGTTTTAATTCAACAATGCCGACTAAAATGCCGCCGAAACGTCTGTGAATGTACCACGGTCCTACCCTGAAAGCGATCATGCATACAATAGACTCCGGACTAGGTGCATTCCTCTAAGTTTTCCTGCCAATATGACCAAGTTGTGAATTCAAGGTCGAACAACCTCTATACAACGAAAGGAGACTGCGACCACACAAAAGGCCACACCACCTTGGTTTTCATACCTTCGAGTGAACATTAATGTTATACTTCGGCATAGTCTTCACTGAATTCTGCTAAGTTTTTCTCAATTACGCAAAGCACGAGGGTCTGAAGATCGTATAATATTTCCTTCGGCACTTGAGGGCAGCAATTTACAATAATTATTTAAGCAACTCTTTGCAATAAATCGTATATATGTTGAGTAACTTGTTTTTGAGTAACCCCGTTTTTTTATCAGCGTTTACTTGACTTTGATTTATATCTAATTCTAATAGATAGCTTTATTAAGGAAATAATCTTGCATTTTTATGCTTGACACTATTTAAGTATTTTTATATGCGTATATAGCAAGAGAATACTAGATAATTCGTGCTGTTAAATTTTCACGAATGCAAGATTGACTTAATTAGGAGTCCTTTCTTTGATGCTGTCCGTCATATGGTAGGTAGGTCTTCATCGTAACCACAGAAGAGTTCGATTAGGACTGCATCCAACTGAACGCCTAGGAAAAGCTAAACGGAAGCAAACCTTACAGAAATTTTGTATCGTGTTCTGAAGAAATCGACCTTTGAATTTCTATTCACACATTCAATATAAATGAGATTCCATTTAACAGGGAAAAAATGGAAAATATGAATACTATGATGCTGTGGCCTTTGGTATGTTCGCAATCTCCTTTCGATTCATAAAAGTGGGTTGGCCTTGGTTTCGCAACTTGGTCTTGTTGTCGAGGTGACTTAGTCGGGCTCACCTTGTCCGAAGTCCTCTGCCATAGTAGTTATCCTAATCTCCAGTATCAGACAGTAGACTTGGTACATTCTCAGACATCTCTCCGGCATCGTAGTCAGCAGCATCAGTGAGTTTTGCCATTCTTCACACCAAGCTACGAACTAGCCAAAGAGACGAATTAAGTCAAGCTCTTGACTAACGTTCTACCAAAACGGTTAGACTGTCACTCCTCTTTTTATTCTGGCCCATCTATCTAATCCTTTCCCTCGTATCCCACTCCAGCTTTATCACAACTTCTGATTTGTTTACATTCAACTCGCCAAAATTTGTGACCTTTTTTGGCAAGTTTAGGGTGATATCACACCTGCTGTTCACCTTGGTCCCCTCTCTTTCGATCATATAATTCGCCTCGGGCCTCTTATCCAGATTTATCTTATGGTCCCGCCATACCTTCCTTATCTCTCTGGTCGACCTGTTTCACTCAGTTCCAGCCCCAGTGTGCGTTTTATTTCAAACGCTATTTCTCAAGGATCTAGAAACACGTATACTACTGCCTCACAGAGTAGAGCACGTTAGGCTCTGATTCCAATGCTTGCATATATTAGGCATTGCCCTCACCGGTTTTCACCTTGATTAGACCCGTTTTACCAGAACAAACTCTGAACGCCTATTTCTGGTGGCCTGCAGCATCTCAAATGGATTTATAGTACATTTTGACTATAATGTCAAATTTCAGTGAAGACAAATCATTTTATTTTACCATTTCTATGAAAGCGCATAGAAATCTTCATTTAGAAAGTTTAATTAGAGCAGAGTAAATTAAGGATTGTATTATTATAACCTAGATTAGTCTATTGCCTAATAATTTAGTTATATTTTGTGCTATAGACTATACATATACAATTTACTGCATTTTATGAAATTTCAAAATGCTTAGTCAGAAAATTTTAAATTGTCCAGCTTGTATTTTGTTTGCTTTCGTCAGTAAATATTTGCAGTTAAAACATGAAATCAAATTTCTTTAATAAGTCACTTTCTAATGCTTCCAATAGCCTTCTTTACTGACGATTCCAACAATGCGGCTATTGGAATATATTTGAAAATATACCTTGTCATCGTTTCGATAGTTGTGCATAAGGAATTGCTATCGCACAACAAAATAAAACGGCCTCAGAATTGTTCCCTTGGATACGATAAAGTTTCAAAGCAAGAAGATTGAGTAGACAATGAATAAGTTTGAAGATACACAAAAATTATTTTCTTCTCATTAACAACTAAGATAGCCTATTACGATATACGTGCGATAAATTCAGCTTAATACTGTAATAAGAAAGTACAACAAAGGTAAGGATGTCAAAATAATATAACTACTTCCTTCGGCAATAGACTGCGCATTATAAATTAAGCTTATTATACAAAAAGCTCATCAAAATTGGGTGTGACCAGTGATATTTCCTTACATACCTAAACCCGCACTTGCTTTTGCAATACCTCTGCAACATTAAGTATTTTTTATTGTGTATTTTGCTTATAAACTATTCAATTTATTTGGGGTATGAAGGCCCTAGCCAGACTTGAGGCTCTTAATGTCTCCTTACTTTTCTTGGTGTTTCTTCCTGCTCTCCGGTTCTTTCTATCCCTAACCTTTCTCAGCAGCCAAAAATCTTTCTCGTTCATTTCCTTACATTTGCAGCTTTGTCAGTTTTTATAAATTTCATAATCATAGACTTAAATATGAGGCCCACGCAGCTTACAATACTCTGTCTTTTGGACCTTTAGATTTCGTGTATTAGTATAGCAATTTGTTGGGCCCGTTCAGATGTTTGAACTAATTGCAATCTGCAGTTGGCCTTGTATTTATATAATATCTAAAATATGTATCAGAAAGTCTTTATCTCATGGAAATTACTACATGATTACATGAAATTGTTAAATCAACATAATTTTAAAAATGACGAAAATCTTTATTAAGTTGCCTACTTCTCTCCGCAATAAGGCATATGCCTGTCTAATTTTAAGATTTGTGATATGTTATAGTTTATGATCACTAATATAAGATGTAAAAGTTCAAAAAATGGTTCAATTAAACTTATAGTCAATTCAAGTCAAGTAATCAATTTGGTAACTTAGAATGATCTCATTTATTTTTTTTATTCTAACTATTAATTGGATTAATATAAATAAAAATTTAAATTTCGTCTGGCTTAAAGAACTCATTGCCTAACTCTGTCAGCTCTAAGATGTACCTAATTTTTTGCATAGTTTTATTAAATTATAAATATCCTAACAGTGGTTGGATGAGAGCATCATAGTAAACAATATAAATATGATGACAATCTGACTTTTTTGATAGACTAAAATAGACATCTTATTATTCAAAATGATTAAGTGTAAAAGAATTTTGAAACCTACTCTAAACCTTGTCAAAAAAAGACTAACCTCTCTCCTGATTAATTAATTAATACAGTTTATGCATGGCGATGTGGAATGCATAGAATTCGCTACTTTTCCGAGAATTATTATCACCTGATATTTAACCGATCGATTTTTATGATATATGAAAAATAATGAAGAGGTTATCATTATTTGCGTATAAGTGGATAGTATTAATATAACATAATTTTGGCTTATAGAAATGATAGAGAGAAACAAACATGAGAGGATG